TCCTGGTGGAACCGGGCTGTCAGGCAGAGGTGACCGAGACGGGGGACATCCGCATCTCTGTGGGGGCTGAGGCCCCAAGCACAATGGGGGCCCAGCTTGACCCCATCCACCTGTCCATCTTCTCACACCGCTTCATGAGCATTGCTGGTCAGTGGCTGCCCCCATCTGTGGGAGAGTGTGTCTGGGGCAGAGGGGGTGCAGGCGGTATGGCCCTCAGGGGTGTGTGGAGAGAGGTGGGTGTGACCCAGGGAAAGGTGGGTGATGTGGCCCAGGCGCTGGGATGGTCAGCCCCCTGGCACCGGCAGGCCTTGGGCAGTGTGAGTACCTAAGTCGCACCGACAGCCATGGGGTCCATGGACAGGAGGTGGGCTCAGCCCAGTGAACCTGTCCTTGCGGGATCGGGCTGGGGCTGCTCGAGGCCCTCAATCCTGTGCCTTGGCACTGGCTTCTTACTGTGCTGGGCACGCTGGACGGGGGACGGGTGGGGTCTCAGGTTCTTGGTGAGGCTCCAGGCAGGGATGGAGAGGAAGGGGATGGCCCTCACACGGGCATGGTGGCCCGGCTGTGGCCTCTTGGGCGCACATGAGCCACTGTCACCCTGGGGGCCCCTGGAAGGCGGCAGGTCCCATGTCTTCCTGTTGTGTGCATCGGCCGGCTGCGCTGGGGGGTGGGGTCATTGAGTGCCTGTCACTCTGTGCCACCAGAGCAGATGGGCCGCATCCTGCAGCGAACAGCCATTTCCACCAACATCAAGGAGCGCCTGGACTTCTCCTGTGCCCTCTTCGGGCCGGATGGGGGGCTGGTGTCCAACGCCCCCCACATCCCCGTGCACCTGGGTGCCATGCAGGAGACCGTGCAGTTCCAGGTTTGGCGGGTCCCCTCCTGCTTTCCCTGCCCCCCCAACCCCCGCCCCTTCCAACCCGGGGCTGTCTCCTGGCCTCAGATCCAGCAGCTGGGAGCTGACCTCCACCCTGGCGACGTGCTACTGAGCAACCACCCCAGCGCCGGGGGCAGCCACCTGCCAGACCTGACCGTCATCACGCCGGTGAGGCCTCCTCGGCTGGGGCAGCCCTGGGGGTGAGGCTGGCCGAGCGGCTAACGCTCACTCTGTGCCGACAGGTGTTCTGGCCAGGTCAGACTCGGCCCGTGTTCTACGTGGCTAGTCGTGGGCATCACGCGGACATCGGGGGCATCACGCCGGGCTCCATGCCGCCCCACTCCACCACACTGCAGCAGGAGGGCGCTGTCTTTCTGTCTTTCAAGCTCGTCCAGGGGGGCGTTTTCCAGGAGGAGGGTGAGTTGGGGTGGGGTTGGGGTGATGGCGAGGGCAGGGCAGGAGTAGGTGAGCCGGACACGGGGCTGCTCCTTACAGCCAGGCCAAGGGGGACACTGGGACACTGCCTAGCGGCCCAGGCCTGCCTTGAGCCTGGGGGGGCAGGTCACGACCCCACAGTGGTTGCAGACCGTCTCTCAGAGATGACCAGAGGCTCTGAGGCACATTCTGCCTGGGCCCAGGAAGGCCTCAGTGATGTTGGGGGTGGGGAGCTGGCCAGGACACCCATGGGACCGGCCAAAGGTGGGAGAGAAACCTGTTGCAAGGTAGGCAGTGGCCCATGGTGGTTAGTCTGTGCTGCGTTTGCACTGGGTCTGGGGGCTGCAGAGAGTGGTGAGGACAGGGACTGCCAGCTCTTAGAGAACTTTCCTGGGCTTGGGTCTGAGACACTGGGTGGAGGGGTGGCTGTGAAGGGCTTCAGTGGGCCTGCACTGGTCTGCCTACACACCATGAGAGCCCCCAGCCTGTGTGCCGAGTGGATGGGCATTGGAGGGTGGCCCCCAGGCCAAGCTGAGGGTAGTTGGGGGCAGCCACGGTTGCCCTGGGTGATGCTGACCCTCGAGCTGGGCAGCAGGCATCACGGTAGGGACAACTGTCTCCGAGATCAAGGTTGGCATTGGGTGGGATTGGTGGACGGGGTGAGGAGTCAAGTTTGGACAACTAGGGGTTGGAGGGAGGCTCCGACAACAGGTGGGCACAGGGCAGCTGCATGGAAGTCGGGCAGGGTTTGCAGTGTGGCCCAGGACACAGGAGCAGTGGCAAACACAGCTGGTGGAGGCGGCAGGGGCCTGGGAGCCTAGGGGGGCATCCCAGAGTGAGGGCACATGGTGTGGGCAGGGTGGAGGGTGGAGCAACAGAGCTGCAGGCCGCTGTCACACACAGAGTGACCCAGGCCTGGCCGCCCTCTCGGTTGGGGTGGGGGGAGCAGAGGGCAAGGGGCAGGAATCATGGGAGGGACATGGGCAGGCGCATGACATAGGACACAGTGGCCAGGGCCCAAGGGAGTACTGTATCCCAGACTAGGGAGAGAGGCTGTCCCTCAGTCTCTGGGGCTCCCAGATTTGTTTGGGTGGACACAAGGCACAGAGAGCCCCCTTCACAGTGGTTGAGAGAGCCGCACCCCATGGGGCAGTGTGATTGGAGGAGGGTCACGGAAGAGGGGAGGGAAGGCCAGAAAGGGCAGGGGGTGTGGCAGGTAGTGGAGGGGTGTGGCATGTGGCGGAGAGCTGGGGCAGAGAGAATTAAAGGTGGAGGCAGGGTTTGCTGAGGGAGGAGCCCATTCCAGCCCCCAGAGCCTCCAGCTCCTATGAGGTCACAGGCAAAGCTGCCTGTCCTCGTCTGGGGTACCCTGGGGGGCTGGAGTGTGGGAAGGAGAAGGTTGAGCAGATGGGAGGAGGATGGGGGAGAGCCCGTGAAGGGCCAACATGGGGTGCCCCGCACAGTGCCCAGCAGAGGTGAAGCCGGTGTGGAGCGGGACACCGGGGAGCCCCCGGGGGCTCAGGGGTCTCAGTGGTGACCTCCTCTGTCCAGCGGTGACTGAGGCCCTGCGGGCTCCAGGCAAGATTCCCGGCTGCAGCGGAACTCGGAACCTGCACGACAACCTGTCGGACCTGCGAGCACAGGTGGCAGCCAACCAGAAAGGCATCCAGCTGGTGGGGGAGCTCATTGGGCAGTACGGGCTGGACGTGGTGCAGGCCTACATGAGCCATATTCAGGTGGGCCCAGCGCGCAGGGGCAGGGGAGCAGCTTGGTGGGGAGGTGGGGGCGCCCGCACCCCCTGGAAGGCGGCATGGCTGCCCACAGAACATTCTGTCTGCCAGGCAAACGCAGAGCTGGCTGTTCGGGACATGCTGCGGGCCTTCGGAACCTCCCGGCAGGCCCGGGGCCTGCCCCTGGAGGTGTCGGCAGAGGACCACATGGACGACGGCTCCCCCATCCGCCTGCGCGTGCAGATCAACCTGAGTCAGGTTAGGCGCCCCGGCGGGAGGAGGGTTTGGGAGGCGCAGCAGCCACGCTGCGGCTGACCCCATCCCTTCCCCGCGAGCAGGGAAGCGCAGTGTTCGACTTCAGCGGCACCGGGCCAGAGGTGTTCGGCAACCTCAATGCCCCGCGGGCCATCACGCTGTCGGCGCTCATCTACTGTCTGCGCTGTCTGGTGGGCCGCGACATCCCGCTCAACCAGGTGCGCGTGCGCGTGTGGTGTCGCCCTGAACCGTCCTGGGGGCGCGGGCGGCCCCACAGAGGGCTGATCCCGGGGTGCTGGGGGTAGGCGCGGGGATATACCCCGAGCGCCCTGAGAGCTGGCCCCTCCCCGCAGGGCTGCCTGGCGCCGGTGCGTGTGGTGATTCCTAGAGGCTCCATCCTGGACCCGTCCCCCGAAGCGGCCGTGGTGGGCGGCAACGTGCTCACGTCCCAGCGCGTGGTGGACGTCATCCTGGGGGCCTTCGGGGCCTGTGCCGCCTCGCAGGTACGGCGGGTGGGTGGACGCGCTCGGGCATGTGGGGGGGTGCCCCTCTAGCCCAGTGCAAATGCCACCTGCCCCTGCCAGGGCTGCATGAACAATGTGACCCTGGGGAATGCCCACATGGGCTACTACGAGACGGTGGCCGGCGGCGCGGGCGCGGGCCCCGGCTGGCACGGGCGCAGCGGCGTGCACAGCCACATGACCAACACGCGCATCACCGACCCCGAGATTCTGGAGAGCAGGTGCGCAGCGGCGGCGTGGGCGGGGCGGGGGTGGGTGGGGCGGGCAGCGGCCGGCCGCACTGAGTCCCCGCCCCCCGCAGGTACCCAGTCATCGTGCGCCGCTTCGAGCTGAGGCTGGGGTCTGGGGGTCGCGGCCGCTTCCGGGGCGGCGATGGCGTCATCCGCGAGCTGCTCTTTCGCGAGGAGGCGCTGCTGTCCGTGCTGACCGAGCGCCGCGCCTTCCGGCCCTACGGTCTCCACGGTGAGCGGCCCGAGCCCCTGCCCCCGGGCCCCTGCGGCCGGGTGTCCTCCTGTCTCCCCACCAACCTCCTCTGTCCCTCCCCTCCTGGCCTCCTGGATTGCCCTCACCCTGCCTCTTCCCGCAGGCGGCGAGCCCGGTGCGCGTGGCCTAAACCTGCTGATCCGCAAGGACGGCCGGACCATGAATCTGGGGGGGAAGACGTCGGTGCCCGTGTACCCCGGGGTAAGGACTGCGCCCCATCCTTTCTCTCTCCCGCTAGCCCCCCATTGATCCGCCTTCCGCAGAGTGAGCAGAGTTGCAAAGATGCCCGGAAACTGAATTTAATTTGGTTCCTGAAGGGCAGAGGGCGCGCGCCGGGCCTCCGTGGTCCAGGCGGGCGGCCGTGGAGGGAGGGGGGGTGGCTGGGGCCGCAGCGGGAGGCAGCCTGGCGGGGAGGGCATGCCCGTGCTGAGCCTGCCCCCCTGTTCCACAGGACGTGTTCTGCCTGCACACACCGGGCGGTGGGGGCTACGGGGACCCGGATGACCCCGCCCCACCGCCGCCGCCGCCGCGGGGGTCGCCCCAGCAGCCCCCAGCCTTCCCCGAGCGCGGCAGCGTCTACGAGTACCGCAGGGCCCAGGAGGCAGTGTGACGGACGGCCCCCACAATAAACAGCTCTTAAGGCGCCCCGTCCCTGCGGCAACTGGCCAGGCTCACGCTCTGCGTCCGTGTCCGTCTTTCCACCCGGGTTGGCGCCTGCGTGCGTGCGTCAGGAGGGCGCAGACACACGGAGCCGAAGTCCCACGGCCAGGTGGTCAGTGAGCCCCGCCAGGGCGGTGCTGAAGGTCACGTGCTCCACCTCCTGGGGGCAGGAGTCAGGCTGAGGGGTCGCCCCAGCGCCGGCCGCCCCAGCGCCCTGAATTCTGCCACTTACTGGGCTCAGCGGGCCTCCGGCCACTCCCCGGTACATGACATAGTCCACGCGCCGGCCCCGCCAAGGCTTAGTCCGGGGGCCCTCGCCCGGAGGGCCTGCCAGGTAGCGGTGGCGCCCCTCCTCCTGCTCCAGGGCCCTGAGGACGGGCGGTGTCACCACGGCCAGGGGCCAGGCTCCCCTCCGTGCTGGGCGGTGCCGGACCCCCAGGTGTGCACTCACCTCCGCAGCATCTCTGAGGAGCAGGCCACCGAGTGGCGCAGGGTGGAGGTGTTCAGCATCGTGCCTGGGGCAGGGCGGGGAGGGCGGTCATCGGGGGGCGCCGAGGCCCCAGAGCCCTCCCTAGGACCGCTCCCCGCCCGGGCGCCGTACCCAGGGCCCAGGGCTGCTCCCGGCGAGTGCCCAGCCGGCAGGGGTCCCGGAAGTGGCTGAAGAGCTCGTGCTCCTGCTCCTTTGCGTGGTCTGCGGGGGAGAGGCCCGCGCTCGGTGGGCGGGGCCAGGCGGTGGCCCCGGCCCGCGCTCGGTGGGCGGGGCCAGGCGGTGGCCCCGGCCCGCGCTCGGTGGGCGGGGCCGGGCGGTGGCCCCGGCCCGCGCTCGGTGGGCGGGGCCAGGCGGTGGCCCCGCCCCTCTGCGGCTTCCCCCTCACCTAAAGAACAGTTGTCGAAGTTTAGGTCACCCAGAAGCACGCTGAAGGCCACGGCATCGCTCCCCTGGCGGCTCTGGGCTTCAAACTGTTGGATCCAGTCCAGCAGAAGCGTCAGCTGTTTGCAGCGCAAGGGCGCGTCCCCTGCGGGGGTCGGGGAGGAAGGCTGAGTCCGGACGCTCACCCCACCCCGGCCTCCGCCCGGCCCAGACCTGGGAGCCCACCACGGCGCTCCACCACCCGGCTCGCGGTGCTCCAGGCCGTGGACAAACGGTGGGGGGAGCGGAGACGCAGACGAGGGCTGGGACCCGCCGCCGCCAGGATGAGAGAGGGGAGACCGCCGGCCCACGTGCTGACCCTCCCGTTCGCAGGGCTCACCACTCGGCGCATGCAAGTGCGTGCAGTGCAGGAAGCCCACGATGCGGCGCCCGTCCAGGATGCCCACCTGCGCCTGCAACACCGTGGACCGCCCAGCAACGTCGCCGGTTTGACCCCACGCCCAGCCCTCTCCCCGCGGCCGGTGGGCTTATACCTGTGCGGAAAGCAGTCCTTTGGAGGCCAGCGCGTCCTCGCGCCGTGCGTGGGGGAAGGATCGGAAGGCGGCGCGCAGCAGCGGATAACGCGAGGCCAGCAGCAGCCCACTGCCGAGCAGCTTGAGGTGCGGTCCGGGCTGCAGGCCGAAGGAGCCCACGTCGTACAGCACCGGGCCCAGATAGGGCGCTAGGCGGCCGACAAGGCGGTGCGCCGCGCGCAGGTCGAACACCTCCTGCAGGCACACGAAGTCCAGCCCCGCCGGCACCGCGGCTATCAGCGTCCCACCCGGCGTCCCCGGCCCTGGCGGACTGCAGCCCGTAGTGCCATAGCGCGAGGGCCGCAGGCCGGCGAGCAGCACCGCGCCCATGGCCTCGGCGCGCCGCTGGCTGTGCCGCAAGTTGTTGAAGCGCGCTAGGCCGTCGGGCAGCAGGCACAGGTTCGCGCTGAGGAAGCCGAAGCAGCGCGCGGGCTCAGCGGGGGGGCGCCAGGGCGCCGGCGGCGCCCAGCACTCCGGAGGGGGCCGGTAGCAGAAGGGGCGGCGCCAAGCCTGCAGGGGCAGCCAGAGCAGCAGGCCGGGCAGGGCGAGGGGCAGGCCGGCCAGGAGCAGCAGCAGCAGCGCCCCCACGGCGCCCGCGGCCGCTCTCAGCGCGCGGCGACGGTTCGCGCGCGCCAGCGGCGCCCCGCAGCCCAGCAGCTGGTCCAGAGCCCAGTAAGCCGGAAAGAGCAGGGCTCGGGCCAGGCGGTGCAGGGCGTGCAGGGCAGGGTGCGGGAAGGGAGAGGGCCGCAGGGCGCCGGGCGTTGGGGGCCAGTCGGGAGGGGACTGCATGGCGCGCGGGGCTTCTTGGCCTCGGGACGCCCCCGCGACTCCGTCGCCTCCAGCGTGCGAATCGATTCGTTGGTGCGTCCGCGGGAGCTGCAGGGGAGTCGCGGGTCAAGGCTACGTGGCGCAGCGGGTGCGCGGAGCCGGGAAGATGCTGTGCTCCCGGGCGGTGCGGGCGCGGCCGGAAACCGGAGCGCCCGGGAAGCCGCGCGCTTCTCACCGGCGCGGAGTGTCGGCGGCCGTTGGAGAGAACAAAAGGGAAAGCGAAAGAGACCCTGGTTTTGCAGCCACGCCTCCGATCCTGCTCGCCCGGCCCCGCCCTCCCCTGAAGGCCGCCGGGAGAACCCCCAGACCTGCCGCTCGGGAACCGGGCCTGGGGAGCAGCCTGCACCAAGCGGAGAGCGGTCGTCGCCCGCGCAGGCGGGCTGGCGAAGGGAGCGCGGGGCGTGCTGCGTCCAGCTCCCTCCCTTCTCCCGGCAAGTCGGCGCGGAATTGCAAGGGCCCTCCGGCCGCCCAGACTGCAGGGTCCGCCTCACCCCCACCCGTCAGCCTCTGTTGCAGCGTCCAGCAGCTGAGTTCAAAGACCCACCCCCAGAGGGGGGACGGACTCCGAGGCTCCCGCTGAGCGTCCCAAGAGCTTCCCCCAGAGGCCTGTCCGCCGCGGTGACGGCTCTGTGACCTACCCCAAGGAGCTTCCAATCTCGGGGTAAGGGACCGTTGGTTGGGCTTTGTGCCGCTGCTTGCCCCCCCCCCCCCCCCCCCCCCGGCACGTGAGCCACAGGGAAACCAGCTCCCATCCGGAGAGCCCCCTCGCACCTGCTCCGTTGGCTCCCGGGACCTGCTGCCTCGCGCTCCTTCAGCGGCTGCCTGGGCCCCACTTTCTGATCTGAGCTGTGAACCACACCCCTCATCTCCCCGGTTTGCTCCTAAATTGCCCTATAGTTTGAGTCAGGGCTGCCATTAAGCCTACAGGTGGCGAGGAGCAGGGCTTCCTGCCTCCCCTACTCCCAGTTCTCCAGGAAAACCTGATTCCCTTTAGAAACCAAAATCTGGTGCTGGCTGTGTTCCCCCCGTTACTGGTGTGTGTCCATGCTGGGCCTTCTCAGCAGACAGAGTGATTTCTATCTATAGATCTCCACATCCCTATATGCAGAGTCCTTCCCTGCCTGTCCTGCGGGTCTGGTTGGATCCCCTGAAGTGGCAGGCCTGGGAGTGGGGAGGGCAGAGAGGCAGGGGGCTCCTGGGTGCACTCCACGACCCTCTCCTTCCTACATTCCTCGCTGGGGGCTGATAGGAGTCCCTTGGCCCCTTGGAGTCCTCTGGCTGGCACACACGGATGCCGCAGGAGTCACCTCTGCTGGGGTCCGCATTCCCACCGCTTCAGCCCACCCTCATCCTCCCTTCACAGCCCAGGCCCTCCCCTTCCTCAGGCCGGTCCTCTCCTGTTCCTCTTCTGGGCCAGAGGCCACTCTGCAGGCTGCCCCCCCCCGCCCCGCTGCCTCATCTCACTCACACACCCTGGCACGGACCAGCAGCCTGCCTGCACTCCTTGGTCTCCGGCACTGCCCACAGGCCCTTCCCCATCTGTCCACAGCTGTCGCATCTTACAGCCCCCCTGCCCCCCCTTTCCCATTCTGCCCGTGCTCCACCCTGCAGCCCTCTCCACGCTGCCCTCTCCTGCTCAGCCCCACCCCCACGAGCCCTGTGGAGCCAGCCTCATCCCCCTGGGCCCACGCGGAACTGGCCACACCTCCCTGGGCTGACCTGTGGCTCAGGTTTGGGTGGGGCTACTTTCTCCTGGTTCCCTCCCCGCCATCTAACACTCTCTTGCCCTCAAGGAAGGTCCAAAGCCCTCCTTGCCGCCTCTCCCACTCCCCTTCCTCCAGCCTAGTGCAGAGGGAAGGATTCCCACACCCACGTCCTGTCTCCTCCCCGCTTCTGCCTTTGACTCTGCACCAGGCTTCAGTCCCCCGCGTAGCACAGTGCTACTGGCCCAGCGCTTCCTGCTCCAAGTCTCCCCCCCCACTGCCAGGTGAGGGAAGCCTTGGGACCTTTGAACATGTCCCCCCTTAGTCAAACAGCTGCCCCGGGGTGGGCATGGAGCCCCAGAGCAGGCAGGATCGAAGGGGTGCTGGGGAGTGAGGTGCTGGCCAGCCACCCCCGAGGAGCGGCAGCCCCCGAGTTCTAGCGTCTGTGGGAAGCTTTAATGGCTTTGCACTAGGGTGCAGGGCATGGTGAACCTGGGTGGGCGTGGGCCAGTGTCACCAGATGAACATGGGCTTGCCGTCGTCGTGCGCCAGCTGGCTGAGGCAGGAGAGCAGCAGCAGCGCGTCGCTGAGCATGCTGGGGTGCACGGTCTCCACCAGCACGCGCTGCAGGAAGTCCATGCTGTAGGAGCCGCCCTCTGAGGCCGCCAACTCCGGCCTTTCGCGCAGGATGCCGTAGGCATTCACCAGCTGCTCCGTCAGCGCCGGGTGCACCCGCCCGTTGTAGCCCAGGCTCTGGAGCCGGTTCATGATGCTCACGTACCGCTGTGTGAGGGTCTGGCACAGCTCCTCATCCAGCTTGTGGTCGCTGGGGTTCAAGGAGGCCTGAAGGGACAGCGGCCATCAGGTCCCTCTGCCCCGAGCAGGCACAGGGCAGGAGAGGGGCAGATGTGGCTGTGGGTGCAGGGGCTGCTGGGGGAAGGGGGCCTGGAGGTCCCGGGGAGAGGCTCTGGAGGGTCTAGGGTTAGGGGGAACCCAGTGGGTTGAGCTGCAGGGGAGAGTTCCCCAGACTCTGATGGAGCTGAGGCTATGAGTGGCCCACAGAGAGCTCAGGCTGGGAGCCTGGAAGTGTAGGAAAGAGGAGGGGTCCTGGCTGGCCCACACCCCTGGGGGCCTTTCCCAGGCACCCTGCTGGCTTCCTGCCCTGAGACCTCCCCAGCCTCTCCAGGTCCCTTCTCTGTCGCCCCGTGCTGCCTCCCCAGCACCCAGCACCCGTACCCCTCCTTCAGTGAGGCCCTGTCCTCCCCTCATGCTGAACTGACCGCCCCAGGCCCTGAACCCACCCTCCGTCTCAGCACCAGGGGGCCTGCTGCTCCTCTGGCGACCCCTCCTGGGCACTGGCAGCAAGGGGGGTCCCCGCCCACTTCTTCATTGCCTGTGCCCCCCAACCAGGCAGTGACTGCGTCCTGCAGCAGCTCACCAGGAAGCGGGAAGTCAGCGCCTCCTCTCCACTCCCGCCATTGCCTCTTGGGCACGTGAGGTGCACACTGACTCAGGGCCCCAGCTCAGGAGGACCCACACCCAGCCAGTGCTCTGCTGTGGCCATCTTGAAGTTCTTTATAATTTTTGAACAAGGAGCACTGTTTTCATTTGCACCGAGTCTTGCAAATGATGTAGCTATCACAGGCATGGCCGTGCCCAGACCCCTGGAATGACAGGTCTGAAGTAGCTGGAGGGGGTCTCTCCCTGCCTGAGCCCCCCACACTTGCCGCTGCCCCATCTGCTCATCCCCTTCCAGCCTTTCCCTGGATGCACGCCAGGCTGGGTCCAGAGCGCGAGCTGGGTCCTCACCCCCTCCAGGAAACTCCTCTGCCCTCCCCTCCGGTCATGTGAACAGAGCACTCAGCTGAAGCGACCCCTGGCCTCTCACAGACGCACCCGGAGCCCTGTGCTCAGGACTTTGGGCGCACACTTAGCACCAGAACCAGCCTGCCTCCTCGACTCGAGGCTCCTCTTGGCCGCTAAGCCTTCTCCCTCCCTTTGCCTGTTCCCGTGGCCCGTGTCGGTGACGGCAAGAGCTCGGCCAAACTGCGCGAGCACGTGAATCTTCATGCTGAATGCCCCGGGGGGGCGGGGGGTGCACAGCTTTAAGCCTCGGCCCCCTGGGGATGTCAGGACCATCCTCTAGTCATCCTGGGGCTGCGGCTGAGCTCCCGCTGGGTGCTGCACTGGGGGCTTGGAGCTCCAGACAGGAGCGGAAGTCTGCAGGGGGCCCACTGCACCCACCCCGCCAGAGTGCGGGACAGGGGAGAGGAGTGTGGGTGCGTTCACACTGAGAGACAAGGCCAGAGCTGCCCCAAAGAGTTGGCCCCTTGACAGTGGGGGGACAGGCGAGGGGAGTGAGTGAGAAGAGCAGGAAGGCGCCCCACGGAAGCCAGGGAGCCGTGGGCATGGGTCCCTGCCACACCTTCCGGGCACTGAGAAGCCGGCAGGGCTGAGCAGAGTGTGGCGGAAGGTTCTGTCCTAACGGGTCAGAGATTTCTGGTCCATTGGCATTGTGGTTCTAAAAGATCATGCTGACCGTATAAGGGGATGGACAGAAGCTGCAAGAGAGGGTGAGGGTTCTGTCCATCCATCCCACAGATATTTTCAGCCGTCCCCTGTGTGGGGCACTGTCGCTGGTGATGGGATTCCCGTCCGAGCAAAGCCCTCTGGGTTTATGGTGATGAAAAGGCAGAGCAGGAGGCTGCCATGGGGAGCCTGGGGAGGGACGTTCTGCGGAGGAGGGGATGGCAGGGCTGGTGCCTGAAGGATGAGGACAACCAGAGCAAAGGAACCTCCGGGACAAGGAACAGTGTGCACGGCATGGAAGGTGCCAGGAGGCAGGGCACAGAGCAAGGGGCCCACGCGGGAGAGCCAGTTTCAGTGGCTGCTGCTGTCACCGTACTGGGGCTGAGCCTCAGTTTCCCCGCTGTGACATGAAGGAAACCAGACTGCCTGGCATCTATTTTGAAGAAGAAAGGAAATGTCTCTGGGGGTGATGAGCACAGCATCCGGCTGGTCTGCCCCACTGCAAGGGGCCCCCAGTTCCACAGGACACATCAGTGGGCTCTCACGTTGAACAGAATTGTGTTTCAAAGGAATAGAGGAGGGAGGGGCTCTCCCAGGATGTAGGAGCCAGATTACAGGTGGGGAGTGCAGGGGTGGGGGGACACACAGCAAGGCCAACCCAGTCCCTCGCTCTCACACTCTCACAGCGTGTATCACCCCCCCAACCTCTAGCATAACTATGTCTTTTGTTACTTATCAAAGGCCTCCCAGGCGCGGGTGAGCTCCCCAAGGGCAGAGACTGTTCATGTCTGTTTGGCATGAACTTGGCAGGCACTGAATGCCCCATAGAGGGCGAAGGGCAGCTGTGGGGCAGGAAGGTGGCCGCAGGTTGGCCCGGGGGTAGGTAAGTGTAGGTGCAGATGTGTCCATGGGAAACATCCTTAGAGGAGGATCAGCGGGGGACCTGGCGTTGGATCAGCTGTGGAGGAGGGAACAGGTGTGACCAAACACGCACGCACCTTGGAGAGACGGAGCCCCGGGGCGCACCACCCAGTCCTCCATTCCGACACTGGCCACGTGCTCAGGGACAGGGAGGTGGCAGCAAGTGTAACGGAGCCGTGTGGTTCAGCCGTCGTCCTCCGAGCAGAGGGCAAGCGCTCAGACACCCGCACTACGGAGACCGCGGAAGGGCCGTCGGATGATGGAGAAGATGGCGACGGGAGACGCGCACCGACGGACGCCGGGGCTGGAGAGGGCAGCGCCGCAGCTGGCCAACTACGTGCACCTGCACAGCCGCCCACCTGGGGCGAGGCCGCGGGAAGCGGGCGGGGGGGGGGCGACGCCCCGGGGCGCTGCGGAGTGGGGGTCCCGCATCTCCGCGGCCACGCGCAAACCTCCGCGCCCTCTCCCTCCGCCAGGATCCGCCCGGCTTTGGCTCCCGACGCTCCGCTGGTGGAAAACGGGCGTATCTGCCGGACTGGAGGGCGCTTCCCCGCCTCAAGGGTATTTACCAGCGAGAGACGTGAAGTAGGACAGCGTGAGCGCTCAGCCGAGACGCGCAGGCCACGCACAGCCCGCGACGCACGGACGGACCGACGGACTCCTAAGGCTCAGGGGGGACGGCCAGCAAGACCAGACGGGGCAAAGGGGCCGGACTGTCCCTTCCCCTTGGTGGGGGAAGCGCGGGGTGGGGGGGACCGCGCTCCGGCAGCCAGGCCTGACGTCATTACACTCGAGCCAATGGGGTGAGTCTGCGGCTGCGGGCCCCGCCCCCGGCCGAGTCCGGGAGCCCCGACCCGCGAGCTGCCCGGGCTTGGACCGCAGGGTCTGGTGGAGAATTCGCTGCGTTTGCGTCGCAGCGCCCGGGCGTGTCCTCCAAGTCCTGAGCCGCCGCGAACGCCGTTCCGGGGCGTAAAACCACCGGGGAAGTGCGCTTCACCACCGGGATGCCGTCCTCGCACCTCGAGATGCGGGAACAGGGAGGGAAAACTCATGCGATCTTTTCAATGAAAGAGAAAGTACATTCTTAGAAAGAAAAAAAAATCAGCATTTCTTCATGGGTCGGAGAGCCCGCCCGGAGCTCTCCGTAAATGGGGACGAGGGAGAACTTCCCCACGTGACGCGGCAGGTGCTGAGGGGGTCGTCGGGCTTCGCTCCGGAGCCTCTTTCCCAAAGCGCTTGTGCTTCTGCCCCCGGGGCGGGGCCACTGGTGAAGCGGAGGCCCGGGGGCGAGGCGCGCTCAGGTTTGGGGAAAGGCGGCGGCTGGGACCCCGTACCAACGTCTGTGCCCAGTTTCGGGTCCTCACCTAAACACTGACAGCAGAGCCCCTGGTTACATCAGCTCGTGTGGCTTCTGTTGCCTGCAACCAAGACCTGGGACTTGAGAAGGCGACAAGTCTGGACGCACAGCACACATCACCCAGACACGAAGCGTGTGTTCCTACCGAGTCGGAAGCATGATGAGGTTGTCCCATCCGCCGCTTCCTTTAAGTAGTGTACGATATGACTGTGTACACGGAAGGGCCAAGATGATACACAGGCCGTGAGAACCAGACCAAGGGTTTGGCACCTGGAAACAAACCATTGCGCAAAAACCAAAACCACTGTGGGCAGGCCAGCGAGTGGGGCCCCAGAGAGCACCAGGGGCCCCGGGCCCTGGGTGGGGGGTATGTGCCACGAGGTACCCTCACATGGGTGCGGCTGGGCTCCTGGTCTGCTAGGACTGGGACCCAAAAGGAAGGCTGAGAACACACGCCCCCAGCAGAAGGCCTTTGCAGCTGGGTAGAAGAGGTGACAGGTCTGGGCATTGGAACAACTTTTAGTCGAGCTTAAAAGATGGCATAGGCCACTGAACCTTAAAGCAGATTGCCAGGGTCAGTGGAAATAGGCCACAAGTCCCCGTTCAGTGATGAGGCTCTGTTAGAGCTTGTTGGCAGCCAACTACACAGTATCCACAAAGCTGGCGAGCCGGGACTGGAGCTCGGGTTTAGTGGGACAGCAGGTTGCCGGGACAGCAGGTTTCGTGGGTCTGGATAGAATCGAGGGATTCTAGCAACAACCAACACCAGGTCCAACGTGCAGAAACACAAGATGTTCGGAGGAAGGGAAACAGAAATCCGGGCAAAGTGGAATTGGGTGCTGGTAGGAGCCCGCAGTGGGCCAGCCAAGCAGGCGGGATGGGTGGCCTTGAGAGCAGGAAGGATCTCTAGGCTCCTCAGGTGGAACCAGACACCTTCAGCCTGCTGTGGGCTCTACGGAGGGTGAGCCAGGCGGCGTTTGCCTGGCCCCCACAGCCTCTTTGCAGGAGGGCTCCGGTGGGGCCGCTCTCAGGAGCCTGGGCGCCAAGTGGGTGGCCCCCGGCAGCCCTGGTCATTGCCGAGGGAAGGAGATAGTTCTGACCATGTGAAAACGAAAAACCCAACCCCAGGACATGCTGAGTCAAGGAAGAGGCAAGCTCAAACCTGAATACAAACAGGCCCCCTCGCAGCCAGCCGCTTTCGCGGGATCACACACCAGCCGCTGGCCGGCCGCTGTTCCCACGGGCTACACACCAGGTCAGTAGTCTAGAGATAAAGAGGCTGGAGAGACGGCAGCCGGGAGCACAGAGGGCTGTTTTCCAAAGAAAGCCGGAATGGCCCTCCTCCCCCATCTGAGGCACGGAGTCCCACCCAGAGCTGGTGTGTTAGCAGGGGAGGGGCACACTCTCCGTCCTTCTGGGACGCACTTCTGGGCATCCAGCCAAGCACAGCCCGCATCCCATGACTGCTTCCTGTCCCACTGCCTTGGAGAGTTTCCCACACGGGGTGGCAAGGCAGACGTGCCCAAGCATCTTTGGGAAGTGTTGTGCTCCATGTCCCTCCACGGAAGCAGCCTCAGAGAACGGCATGCTAAGAATATACTGGAATGAGCCTGGCCTGAGGCCCCTGGCCATGAGGCCACCAGATGCTCACAGGTTATGGGACCTGCCTCCCCTGTGCCACCATAGTGGCCCTTGAGGCTACCAATGGGGTGGGGAAAGCGTCAGTTCTGCTAGTCTGGGGAGGGCCCCTCGGAATGAGGGCTGGCCATCTGGAGGCCATCACAGATGCGAAGGAGGAGAGGGCTGTCCCAGCCATGGTCAGGACCGTCCTCTGCCCTATCCTCTGGGGAGGCCACAAGGCCAGGGCCACAGGCTCCTGACACCAGATGCCCTGGACACCCTCAGCCACTCGGACTGAATGCCAGGCTTCCTCCATTCCAGGGAGGCCTGGGATTCTGATGTCTTGCCCGGGTTGGAGTCTAGGGCCCCCCAGCACCTCCTCCAAGGCCAGCATACACCCCATCCCCGACAGGTGAGGGGGCAGGTCCTCTGAGTGGGAGGTGGGAGCCACATACCTGGATGATCTTCTCTGGAATGTTGGAGACCGTGAAGCCGTAGAGCCGTACACGCTCCGGGAAGATACTGGACAGGATCCTGCGGTCCAGCTGGAAGGCAATCTCCCCCACCAGCCTCTCCCAGGCTAGCTGCTTTGACTCTGGGGACAGCAAGGGGAGAAGGACTGGTCAGTGGCCATGGTCAGCAGCCCAGGCTAGTGCCAGGGAGGTCTACAGGGCACCAGGCATCAGGGGAGACCACCCCCCTCATGTTGAACTTGTGTCACTGACCTCGGGGGCTGTCAGGGAACTTGCTGGCCTTTCGATGGGCCGTCTTCCGTTCCAGCTCTAGGATGCTTTTCCGAGATGTCTCCATGCCACGTGGACCCCGGGCATCGTTGACTGTAGCCGGGGAGGACGAAGTTCGGGGCGGGGAGTGGGGGTTTCGTGGAGGGGAGTGGGGGGTGGGCAAGGGCTGGGTGGGAGGGTGGTGTGCCCGGGTGGGAGACTGGGGGGGG